AGCAGAGGGTAAAGGGGGGACAATGGTGAGGGAAGGAGACTGGGCTTGGGGTGTGAACACACAGTACAACACACAGATGATGTGCTGTGGAGTCATACACCTGAGACCTGTATAATTTTATTAACCAATGTTACCCCAATAAATGCAATAAAAATGTTAAAAATAATAAAATAAATTAGAAAAAGAAAGTACACAGAGCGCCTATCAACAATCTTTCTTATTAAAAATAAGGCGAGCCCTCACTGGTGTGGCTCAGAGGACAGAGCGTCGGCCTGCGGACCAAAGGGTCCCAGGTTCGATTCTGGTCCAGGGCACGTACCTTGGTTGCAGGCTCCTCCGCGGCCCAGGCCCTGGTCAGGGCGCGTGCGGGAGGCGACCCATCACTGTGTTTCCCTCTTGTTTCCACTCTCCCTAAAAATCAATGGGAAAGTCTCCTGGGGGGGGGGGGGGGAGATTAAGCAAAATAAGGAGAATGACCAGAATCACATCCGCTCTCCGCATTCACCGGGGAGACGCTGACGGTGTGAGAGCTGGGGGACATGAGGAACATCGAGGATCCAGGAGCCCCGTGCAAATCTGAGCACGCAGCAGGGCACCAGTGTGGTTTCCTCAGATATAACGTGCAAGAAAGAAAGGGTGGGGGAACTATTACATCTCTAAAAAGGGTTAAGTGACAGTATGTCTAAGTGGAACATGAGTCCCAACGTGGAAAAAAGTTAATTATAAAAATATACGTGTGAACCAGTCTAGGAACCTGAGCATGAGCTGAGTTTTAGAGGATTCCAAGAAACTGTTTCTTAACTTATATGCGATTATGGGATTGTGGATATACACACACACACACACACACACACACACACTAGAGGCCCGGTGCACGAAATTTGTGCACGGTGGGGGGGGGGGGGTCCCTCAGCCCAGCCTGCACCCTCTCCAATCTGGGACCCCTCGGCCCTAAACTGGCAGTCAGACATCCCTCTCGAAATCCAGGACCACTGGCTCCTAACCACTCACCTGCCTGCCTGCCTAATGCCCCCAACTGCCCTCCCCTGCCTGCCTGATCCCCCCTAACCCCCTGCCAGCCTGATCTCACCCCTAACTGCCTCTGCCTGGGCCCCCAACACCATGACTTTGTCCGGAAGGAAGTCAGACGTCTGGAAGATGGCCGGTTGACCCAGTCTAATTAGCATATTACCCTTTTATTAGTACAGATAATGTTTTTAAAACTCACTTTGTGATAGAGATACACACTGAGTACATATAAGAAAAATGATAAACCTTGTCTTGGATTGGTTTTTAAATATTCAGCAGAAATAACAGCAGTAAGAAAAAAGTACACTGGGAGAAGATGAACTAAGTGGAATATTGACAGTTATTAGATCCCGACGGTGAGTTTATAACGATTCAAAATGCAGTTCTGTACCCTCTCCTGCTGCACAGAACGCACTGATTAAAGCAGATAATAAACCCAGAGAGGCCTGCAGGCCCCCCATGCTCTCTGGGGATGAGAGCGTCGCCTTTCACGCCGAGGAAGACCCTTGCGTGATTTTCTCGGACGTAACGAGGGGACTGAAAGCCTGGCGCTTGGGAAGCTGGTCAGGATGGCACTGGGTGAAGGAGGAGGCACATTCTCCAAGCCCCGTGAATAGAGGGTGAGCAAGGGTTGTAAAGTGAGAACAAGAAAACACATCGGAGGCGCGAGGTTTTGTCATAGGGATGCTGACTCAACCGCAAAGTCATCTCTCTTACAAGGGCCTCGCATTGTCTAATAAAGCAAAGATTCGGGATGTGCACTCGCACAAATTAGTAGGGAACATGTCGTAAACAGCCCTGCCATGTGTCCCGCCCACCGCGGAGGCCCGTATAAAAGGACCGTGGTCCAGGGCGATGCTCAGACTGAGGACACCTACTCCCTGCTCTTCAATCAAATCCTTCCCTCCTGAGACCATGAGCTGCTACGGCAACTACTACGGAGGCCTGGGCTACGGCTACAACGGCGTGGGCTGTGCCTATGGGGGCTGTGGCTATGGCGGCCTAGGCTACGGCTATGGTGGCCTGGGCTATGGCTATGGCTGTGGCTACGGCTGTGGCTATGGTGGCCTGGGCTGCGGCTACGGCTGGGGCTCTGGCGTCTACGGATACGGTGGCAACCGCCCGTCTTACTGCAGAAGATTCTGTTTGTACGGGTGCTACTGAGAAGCTCCCAGGGAAGCTCACCCAGCTGGCCCACCCCCCCACCCTCCGCCTGAGCAATTCCGTTTCTGCTCGAAAAGCCAACCTCATCCTCAAGCGTCTGAAAGGAACAGGACAAAGTCCTGAGTCAAGGAAATCGCCCGGAACGTTTCACAACTTTCTGGAAACCTTTTCCTTTGCTATTTTATTGACTTTAGAATTCTTACATTTTTGATCAATAACTTTCCTGCGAGAAAAGTTTAAATTAATCTTAATAAACATCTCATTGCAATACTGATTTATTGCATTTAAATTGCTTTTCCTTCATCATTTGTGTGTGTGTGTTGGGATGTTGGCAAACGGGGTGATGTGATGGTTAATTTCATCTGTCACCTGGCTGGGCCCAGGGAGTCCCAGAGAGCTGATAACACGTGATTTCCGGGTGTGTCCAGGGCGGGTGGGGGAGTTTCGGAAAGAGATTTGCATTTGAGTCAGTGGACGGAGTGAGGAGATTCACCAGGGCAGGTGGGCATCAGCCCCTCCACTGCGGGCTCATGGGACAGAGAGGGAGAGGAAGGGCAACTGTGCTCTCTCTGCCTGAGGTGGGGCGTCCATCGTCTCCTGCCCGGGGTGGCCAGGGCCGCATCTCAGGTCTTCAGGTTCGGACTGAACTGTGTGTGCATTTGGCTCCCCTGCTCCCCGGACTCGCAGGTGACCGGTCACGGGGCCTCGAGTTCCCCACGATGACGTGAGCCATCCTGTGACAACCTCCACGTGGACAGAGCAGAGGGGGCACATCTGTAGAGCTCCTCCTGGTTCTGTGTCCCCTGAGAACACTGACTCACACCGGTGGGGAGGATGAGAGAGAGAGAGAGAGAGAGAGAGAGAGAGAGAGAGAGGCTTGGCTCATCCTGAGGTGCCAGTGATGCTGGAAAGACCCGAGCGTGACATCAGCCCCTACAGACCAGCCCAGAGGCTGAGCTCCAAGCCCGGCCCTGGTCACACCCAGCACCAGCCAAGCCACAGGTAAGAGGTGGACCCGGGCGGGCGGGGGACGCTCACACTCTCATTAAATTGCGCTTGACGTCAACTCCTCCTGGGAGATGCTCGCGGCATATCCGACGGAGGCCGAGAGGGGTGAGGAGAAGCAGCCGTGCGGGGTGCTAGTGGGGTGACCGGCTGGTTTACTGACATCAGGAAGCAGGAGAGGGACGGCCAGACAGGACGCACGGCCACAGGAAACTGCACTTCACGCCCCAGGGAAGCCCTGTCCGTCCATTCCCGGCAGAGCCCACGGGGGAGGGAGGGGTGCTGGGCAGTGACGTGGGGTGAGGTAGGGACGGTGCTGGCCTGTCTGTCTCGCGTGGGAAAGGGTCAGTGGGCAGGAGGGCGGGGCCACGGCAAGTGTGTGCAGTCAGACCGCATCCCCTCACGCCCGCTCGCTCTTGCCGCTGGTTCACCCTCCCTCTCTCCTGCACCGTGACCCGCACTCACCGCCACTCGGGTGTAAGCAGCCCCCTGGCCCGTGGCCGGCAGCCCCACCCACCATGGCTGCAGCTGGGAGCACAGGCTACGCCGGTCAGATGCTGAGCTGGACTGGACTTCAATGCGGAGCGGAGACCCCGGGCAGTGGCCTCCATCCTGGCCCCGCTGAGGACACGCTGCACTTCCCCCACGGCCCGGAACTGAAAGGGACCCTTCATGTCCCGTCCACAACCACGCTGTCCACGGAACCCCGTCCCCCGGGGGCCGGGAGCTCTCTTCCCCGCGGCACCCCGAGAGAGAACCCCCTGCCACGGACAACAGCAGCATTCACCTGTGAGGCCTGGGAACGCCCAACTCTCCACCGATTAGTGGTCAATAGACTGAGGTTCCCCCCACAGAGAACGCTCCCCAGCTGTGAACGTGACCCACGGCAACACACACAACACGCGTGCATCTCAGAACCACCGTGTGCGCGAATGACACGGTGAAACCAGTGCATCTGGGCGGATTCACGTCTGTGAAGTGAGAAGGTGGAGAAACAGATGCAGCTTCACTCTGGGCATGAGAGATGCCTGAGGAGGGGGGCGGCCCGGGGCGGTGACGGGGAGGCCGAGTCCCTCCGGCCCTGCGAGGACTCCCTGTACCAGTCTGACTGCTGGCTCCATGGCGGGGGTGGGGGGGCCGAGGAAACGCGAAAGCGCGGAGCTGGGGTGGGACCTCAGCCCCTGGTTTCCCCAAGAGCCGCACACTCCACTCCTGATTCCACGCGACGTCAGCAGGCGGGCCCACCAGCCTCCTGCCCTCAGATAACACTGCGAATGGATCAGAAGCTATACAGTCACTTTAATCTGCCTAAGACTCACCGACAACACAACCAGCCCTCCTCGGCGGTGCCCACGGGGTTCCGGGCCGCGTGCATGGGGAGGTTCTGTTCCTGCCGCTCTGAACGCTGTGAACCTGGGCCTTCTCCATCGGCTCCCTCGCTGCCCTCAGCGCCTCCGGGCTGGCTGCCCCCGGCCTGACTCGGCTCTAAGACAGAGCAGAGAGGTGAAAGGCCCTTCAGAGACGGGGGAGAAACAAATGATCGGCATGTGTGTGTAAGTGACACGTGTGTAGGCGGTACGCCTGTGTATGTTATGCATGTGTAGGTGGCATGTGTGTAGGTGGCATGTGTATAGGTGGCATGTGGGGTGTGTGTGTGTAGGTGGCAGAAAGCGTGTGCACGTGGGGTGCAGGGTCTCAGCAGCCACGGGTCCCCGATGACACCCCTCCCAGGAGTGCTCTCTTCATGAAGGTGTTATTCCAGAGCAGGAAAAGTTGATCATGTAAGAGCCCACCGTGTAGAACAGTTACATTCGATTCACAGATGCGCTGCTTTAATATAAACCCGGTATAAACATGGCAGCCCTGGCCTGAGAGTGCTGTCCACTGTGAACCAGGCTCTATCTTCTGAGAAATCGCTGAAAACCTTGGCCGGTTGCAGCAAGGCCTGCGCTGGCCCTTTATCAACTCGCCTCGTCTCCGGGTGCCGGCCCGTAGTCACGCTTCACGCCTCTTCCAATGCCAGGCTCTGCACTGAAACGCATTCCCATCCGTCCTCGTGAGCCTGGCCGACCCGCGTGTCATCCGGACGTGCCGTGTGGGCACAGCCCTGCGAGCCTCCCTCGGGTCTCCCTCTCCGTTCCTCTCTGAAATCAATAAAAATATATATATTTTTTTTAATTAGGAGGGACATCTAGCTGGGGAGGTTCCCCCTGAGAAGCCGGGGTTCCAGCCCCACACCAAGCCCCCAGCCCAGGGTTCCAGAGCCAGGAAGACAAGTTCCCGTAACTTCTGGCTGTGAAAACCAGCGGGGATTGTGGTAGAGAGGAGAGCTGGGGTGGGGAGGAAGGAGGGGAGGGGGAAATGTGTGTGACTGTTGCCATTATTCCTCTTATTTACCCTGATTCTGAGAAGTTTCCCTCTTATCTCGTAAGAGAACTTTCCTAACCAAGAGGTCACAGGCTCTGTTGTAATATTTAAGCACTAGAGGCCTGGTGCACAGATTCATGCACCGATGGGGTCCCTCAGCCTGGCCTGCTCCCTCTCACAATCCGGGACCCCTCGGGGGATGTAGTAGTGCACAAAGTGGCAGGCAGCCAGGAAGGAGTCCAAGCCGGGCTGGGCACTGCACATCCGGGCTCCACTGAGCTTACCACCACCGCCCATTACTGCTGCCGTGGAAGCAGGAGAGGCTCATGCTGGCCATGAGCCCGGCTTCTGGCTGAGCAGCGCTCCCACTATGGCAGCACACTGATCACCAGGGGGCAGCTCCTGCATTGAGCATCTGCCCCCTGGTGGTCAGTGCACATCATAGCTACCGGTCGACCGGTCGCTTAGGCTTTTATATATATAGATGAGCAGAATGGAATTTAGATTTACATATGGTAACCTAAGCCATTTACGTTTATATTGTTTCTTAGTGTATAAGGGAGGGGATGCAGTGTAAGACTTTCACTGAACATGGTTCCGGTGTGATTAAACTCTTTAACAGGAAATGACCTGGACCACATGTTTTGTATTGTTTTGTCCAGTTCCTGGTCTATAATTGGAAACAATCACTGTGCAACTTCGGTAGGAAATGGCGAGGCTGCCGCACAAGGCCCCGCTTACCTCACTGATACGCGGCCGGCCCCGACTTCCTCCGTGAGGGCAGCAGCGTCGCGATGCACCAGCAGCAAAGCCGGCTGTTCACTGTGGTGTTTTCACGGCTGCGGGATGGAAGGAAGAGAATCGGGTAAAGCTGCTGCTGCTCATGAGCTACGAGTCTTACTTTTTCCACTGAAAATGGGAGCTTCTATTAGTGCTGCTGTTCATTTTCAAAGGGCACATGTTCCAACTTCCAGATGGTGGGCTGACAGATCAGAATTGTGTCTTCCCTATTACCATTGGTCGTGAGCGCGACTACCACCCAGAGGGCAGGCATGACCGACACCCTGTAACGGGCGCCAGGGCCTCCTGTGCTTGTTCTCTGTCCAGGGGGGAGATGAGCTGCCGTTGCTCAGAGTTTCAAAGGACCGTATCTCTGGTCCCATCGGCTGGACCATCTCAGGTGCTAACAAATGGTCTCATTTCTGCAGAATTCCTTTCCGGAGGCGCTGGATCGTCCTGTTGGGTTTAATTTTAAGCAGCGTGGGAAGTCACCCCGCAGACTCGGAACTATAAGAAAGGAAACACTCAGGCAGTGCAGCCGCGTGGCTCGGCGGCCACACTCCGCTGTATCGTAGAGATTCTAGCTCTGTTTTCCCAGGTGGGGGGGCCCCAGGTGGGGTGCAGGGGTTGCTAAGGGGCTTTCTGCTGCGCGTCCGCGAGATAATGGATGTGGGTTACGCTGCACCGTTGCCCTTGAATACAATGAACACACACAGTATGTCTCTGTGTTTACTTTGTAGAAAAGAAAACCAAAATAACCCTGAGTAATTCCTAAGCATTGAAAGTAAAATCCTGTGGGATATTTACACCACGGAACACTGTGCAGCTGTGAAAAGAGGGATCCTGACCCTCTGGGGCAGCGAGGATGGACCTGGAGAGTGTGACGCTCAGCGGAATAAGCCAAACTGAGAAAGACACAGGTCACATGATCTCCTCACCTGTGGCATCTAATGAACAGAACGAACTGACCAACAGAATGAGACCCGAAGCCGGGAGGCAGGGAGCAGACTGACACACCTCCATGTGGGGGTGAGGGGACGAGAAGAGAGAAACCAAGACCTTATGTACTTATAGGCACAGCCATAGACACGGGCCACAGGGGGTGAAGACCTGAGGGTGGGGTAGGGACTGGAAGGGGGGGGAAAGGAGGAGAGATCTGTAACACTACCAACAATAAAAAATATTTTTTTTACAAAACAGGAATGTAAAATCCCATCACTCTGTAGAGCCCTCCACGCCCCTGCATTGCCCACACTGTGGAGAAGGCAATGCCTGGGGTTCGGGCCCCGCGGCCGTCCCCACCTCCACGGGCTCCCGCGAGAGACGGGGAGACAGACACAGGACGAGCAGACGCCCCAGTCCCAGGCTGTGCCCCTCGGAAGCGGCGAAGACGATACACCAAACAGGAGGCCACACGGCAGAGGCGCCGCTTGGCAACTACAACACACAGCCCTTCCCCGCACCGTCCCCTGCGCCAGCCACTGCCCGCACTGTCCCCAGCGCCGGCCACTGCTCCACACTGAGGACCCTTCTCGTCGCCAGGACGATGGCCTGGGTCGGAGTTCACGGTCTCTTTTCATGGATGGAAACAATTCTGAGGGTCAGACGCCTTCTGGCGCCTGCACGGCTGGTACACGGGGGCCCAGAGGGGTCTGTGCCCCCCCCCGGGCTGTTTAAGTGGGACCCCCCTCCCCGCACAGGCTCATCCTGAGTCTCACCTCCACCTGCTCTCAGCCCCCAGGATCCCTGGCATCCAGGCTGAGGCCGATGCAGAGGACACCAGGCGTGTTAGGGAGTGAGGCCTGGTGTGAGGAAACGGCTGGTTGTGCCCCATGTCAGGGTCACCCAGGGTGCAGCCTGTGCTCGCACAGCAGCCGTGGAGCAGGGACAGGAAAGCAGCCGGAATTCACGGCTGCAGACAGCTCAGGAGGGGCCTGCTGCCTCGGAACCGATGGAGCTCAGGGGCCACCATCAGCTTCCTGGCCAACAGCAGTTCTTCCCTTTGGTGTGAGTCACAGACAGGGAGCTCCACCGGGACCTGCAGGGGTCGCTTCAAAGGCCCGGCACGGCCTGGAGGGGTGGGTAGCGGCAGGAGGCCCCGTAGACAAGTGGCTGGTGGCCCAGCCGTAGCCACAGCCATAGCGGGACCCGCATCCGCAGCCGCAGCCCCCGCAGGAGTTCCCGCAGTAGCTGCCGCACATGGGCGGCTCCTCCCTCCCGGCGGGCGGCTCCTCCCTCCCGGCGGGCGGCTCCTCCCTCCCGGCGGGCGGCTCCTCCCTCCCGGCGGGCGGCTCCTCCTCTCCCAGGACCTGCATGTCCCTCCCGGCGGGCGGCTCCTCCCTCCCGGCGGGCGGCTCCTCCCTCACGTGCTCCCCTCCCTCCTTTTACAAGTGTTTGCCCAGCGTGAGCTCATCCGTGGCCGACGGCCTTGCTGGGAAGCCACTGTTTATTGCTGCGCCCCTGGACGTGCCTCAGGCCTCAAGCAAAGTCAAGACATCGCTAAGCACACGCACGCGCAGCCATCATTCACCTCCCGTATTTGCGCGAAGAGGCCATGACACAGCACCTCGCCGGATACATGGGCCTGTGACTATGTTTACTACTTTGCTCTTTCAACATCTGAGAAATCACCCACTAAACTCGAAGTTCTGCTACTACCACCCTCTTTACCGCCGTCATCATCATCTCCATTGTCACGTCACCTTGTTGTTTTTCTCCTTTCCTGGTATTTCGGGGAGGTTTTCACCCTAATCTCTCCTAAAGCACTTTTCACAGACTTGGGACCAGGAGTTAGACTTTCAACATGTTTGTGTACATTCCCAGAAATGGCCTCTTTCTCTCCGAAGGAAAAGGTGTCCAGCCCCTACTTTTCTCCTTTGGGGAGAAATGAGCGCTCAACTCCTGATGGGTAAATTATGTAAACGGCATTATTGGTCATTTAGATAAGAAGGACCATCTTTCCCCAGAATCTCAATGTAGAGGGAAGAAAAGGCCGGGTTCGAGGATCCCTGCATCTGCCTGGGTTCCGTCCGGAGGCAGGAACCACAGCTGGTGACGTAGGGACAGTTTAACATAGAAATTATTAAGTCATGATACAAGAGTAACTAAGATGTGAGGAAACTGCCTGGCCAGCGTGGCTCAGGGGTTGAGCATCGACCTGTGAACCAGGAGGTCACGGTTCGATTCCCGGTCAGGGCACAGGCCCAGGTTGTGGGCTTCATTCCCAGTGTGGGGCGTGCAGGAGGCAGCCGATCGATGATTCTCTCTCATAATTGATGCTTCTATATCTCTCCCTCTCCTCTCCTCTCTGAAATCAATAAAAATATATTTTTTAAAAAGATATGAGGAAACTCTAAATGCCCTAAGGATGGGAAAAAATACTCGAGGAAGGAAAGCTCACAAGGGGTGGCTCTGCGGGTAGCGGGGAAGTTGGCTGTTGTGTCCGTGGCTGAACACGCAGCACCAGCCGTGTGTGGAGCAGACGGCGAGGAGCAGTGAGTGCTGCCTGAGCTACTTACTAACCACCAGACCATGGGAACGTCCTCAATCCATAAGCTCCGTGTCTGCAACTGCCACATAGAAATAACTGCGTGTATTTAAAAGTCCGTCGAGGGAAAGACGGGGGGGGGGGGGGGGGGACACACTGATCTTACTCTCCAGTTTATTTCCCGTGTTTCCATCCAAGCATCCGCATTCCCAAAGGAACAGCTTCTCGGATATCTGTATGCACTTGTATTGATCTATGCATCACACTCAATCTTTAAGTCTAATGTTTACGTCCATGCTGCTGTGGTTGTGTGTGTGTGTGGGTGTGTGTGGGTGTGTGTGTGGGTGTGTGGGGGGTGTGGGGGTGTGTGTGTGTGTGTGTGTGTGTGTGGGTAAGACCGCTTTCATTGGGAGAGGACGCTGGGTTTGCATCTGCGTGTGTGTGCGTGTGTGTGTGTGTGTGTGTGTGTGTGTGTCTTCAGTAACATTCTTCACGCTGACTTTCCAAAAGCTACCCACTCCCTCGGCGAATGACCGCCTGTGCGTGTGACTGTCCTCGCTGCCCTGGCCGGAGGCACGTCGAACGGAACACTTTGTAGACACACAGAATCAAGCCGATGCCGCCAGCTGGCTTCGTGGCTCCTTGAGAGGCCCGGGAATCAGGAACGAGCATTGAAATGACAAGCACCGAACTCGCAGACACGCCTGCGGCCACGGGGAGACGTGCCCTGCCGTCCAAGGCCGTGGGCAGCCGTGCAGGGCACAGCCGTGGGGGAGGCCTGAGCAGTGGCAGCGGAGACACGGCAGAGAGGAGCGAGCGTCGTTCCTCACAGGCTCCCCTCCTGCTGTCGCGCCCCTCGGACCTCCCGGCACCCGAACCCCGAGAGCCGGGCGGCAGCCTCCCCAGTCCTCCCACCGACACGGGTCACACTCAGGCTGAGTCTGATCTTCCCGTCTGAGACGGCACCCGATGGCTTGTCAAACCAAACTTCACTTTTCAGAGCAGCTTCACATTCACAACAAACTGAGCAGAAAGCACAGAGGTCCCCGCCCCCCCCGCTGCCCCCACAGCACAGCCCTCCCGTCAGTAACGCCTGCCACCGGAGGGTCCGCCCGGACCATTTCACAGGCGCACGGCCCCTCTCCCGACCATCACACCTTCTCCAGGGAGGCGCTGAGGTTTCCGGCCATGTTTGAGTTGGGTGGCTGGTTGGGTGGCTGGTTAAACTTCGAGTTTAATGGGTAATTTCTCAGATGTTGAAAGAGCAAAGTAGTAAACATAGTCACAGGCCCATGTATCCAGCGAGGTGCTGTGTCATGGCCTCTTAGCGCAATTACGGGAGGTAAATGATGGCTGCGCACGCGTGTGCTTAGCAATGTCTTGACTTTGCTTGAGGCCTGAGGCACGTCCAGGGGAGCAGCCACCCAACACTCTTAGTGTGGAGTTCTGAGAGCTCTTGGCACATTCTGTCCTTCTTCAGGAATGTCTTCGGCAAATATTTTCTCCCAGTTGGTGACTCGTCTTCTCGTTCTCTGGACGTTGTGGGTCACAGAGCAGACGTTCTTGATGTTAATGAGGCCCCAGCTGGCCCCTTCTTTCTTTCATGGGCCATGTCCCTGGTTTTGTATCAACAAGTCATCGCCAAACTCAACATCATCTAGGTTTTCTCCTGCGCTGTCTTCTAGGAGGGCTGTGGCTTTGCCTTTTACCTTTAGGTCTGCGATCCATAGTGGGTTGATTTTGTGAAGGGTGCACGGTCTGTTTCCAAAGTCAATGTCTCTGTGGGCAGATGTCCAGTTGTTCCAGCCCCACTTGTTCTCTGCTTCTTCTTCAAAGAGCAGTTGACTATATTTGTGTGAATTATATGGGGTCTCTCTACTCAGTTTCACTGAGCAATTATTTTTTTAATGTTTTTCGCCAATACCACTCTGTCTTGATGACTGTAGTTTAAAGTAAGGCTTGAAATCGGGTAGTGTCAGTCCTCCAACTTTGTTCTTCATTGTTGGCTGTTTTCTGGCTCTTTGCCTCTCCATATAACATTTGTAATCTTTTTGTCAATATTCAAAAAATAACTTGCTGGAGTTTCTATTGGGATTGCTTTTGATCTATAGGTAAAATAAGGAAGAAGAACTGACATCTTAACAATATTGAGTCTTGCTACCCATGAACGTGAAATAATATATTTTGTTCCTTTTTTAGTTCTTCCTTCATTTCTTTCACAGAGTTCTGTAGTATTCCTTGTGTAGATCTTATACATATGTTTAGACCTATATCAAAGTATTACATTTTGGGGACTGCTATTGTAAGTGGTATTATGCTTTAAACTTCAAATTCCATGCACTCTGTGTTGATATGTAGAAAAGCAATGACTTTTATGTAGTAACCTTATATACTTCAACCTTGCTATATAATCTCTTATTAGTCCCAGGAGTGTTCTGTAGATTTATTTGGATTTTCTAAATAAACAATCATGCCATGTGGAAAAAGACAGTTTTATTTCTTTTTTTCCTATCAGT